CTTACACTATAAAAGTACGTCATTACATAGATAATCTATAAAAATAAATTACTAGATTGATTTAATAGTTTATTACCACAATCCTTACATGGAAAACGCAGATCAAAAACCTTATTGACAAACAGTAGTTCCTGACGGAAGTTAAGATCTGTTGTGAAGTCAATTTTGAAAAAATAAGTTTATAGGGTATATCTAATAATGAAGATAATTCAAACCCGAGTATTTTTTTTTTCTCTATTAGTAGAAGCCTTAGTCATAATACATCTTTTCAAAATTAAGAAATTAATTGAGTATAATCCATAGTAACTTTTATATCAATATGCATATTTAAAGAATAAAGGAAAAATCAGATATTTTAAATGATTTTTTAAAGGAGCTAAAATATTGTCCGTGTACTTAAATTCTTTGTTGTGAAAAAAAAAATGCTCGGGTTTGTTCTTCACGAGATAAACATGTAAGCGATAAATTTAATATTTCGAAGGTGATTTCACGCGATATCAACAGTGATCAACATAGGATTATTTTTTTTGTGACCTAACAAAAATTATTTTTTTAACTTTCGAATTTTGATATCTTTTAAAAGAAAAAGACTTTGGGGATATAATTTGACAAAAGTTAACAATTTATGGACAGTTATTTTTCAAGAAGAAAAACGAATATACATTTTTAGCGATTAGAATCGGACCAAGCGGCTTTAAGTCAACAAATATCGTAATTTCGAGTTTAGGTCAGAATAGTTCGTCCTTGATCGTGGCCATGCTGACTTTAACGACAACGCTCAAGAGAGAGAGAGAGAGAGTTGCAGACTGAGACGCCTTTGCTTTGCACTGGATTTTTCAGTGATTGAGGAAGAATATAGAAAGTAATAAAATGAATTAGATGATATTAAGTAAAGAGTTTGAGGTATGTTTCTCTTTCCCTGTCAAAACAATACAAACATAACTGATTTGCTTCTTTTTTTTATATGAACGTCGAGAATATGACATCAGCAATTTCCACCCCGTGGTCGGACAGCGGCTTAAACATTTTCATGACGTCTGTCAGCTGGTCACTCCTGTTTGTCGCCAGTTTTATTTTATTCTATTAAATTTGAAGGATATTGCATTCATAATTTAGCTAAAACAGACCAGAAATAAGTGCTTTCTTTGTTTATACCATAGTCTAGAAGCTTGGTCAAGAAAGTAGTTCTGATTGAAAAATTTATTGATGTGTTAACTTTTTCTTAAACGTGTTCTCGTCCAATCAAAACACAGGGAATCAATAGATAAAATGACGATTGAAATTATTTTTCTGTATTGCCTCTTAGCAGTATTCACCCTTAAACGCCAAACAAGTCATTATTGTCTTTATATAAGAATTAAAATAAAATAGTCAAACTACATGTGTGATACTCAAATTATGGAATTCAAAAAATTATTTATAAATTAAGGATATATTCCTCAGCCAGGAAGGATAACTCTTGAATTTATAATTTAATTCAAAAAGTCTTAAGGTATTCAATGTATAACGAAGGGATTTTGACTGATTTTAAATAATTTTAAACTAGTTTAAAATACACAGCTAGAAAACGATAAAAGTGAAATAAACGAAATTCACAAGACTGATAACATGTAAGGAGACGGTCATTTTGCACATTTACAGTTTTTGAAGAGTTATCTGCCCTTGATGAAAAGAAGAAAATTTTTGATTTCACAAAATTTCTGCGGTAAATAATTTATTTTATTTTATATTTTAATAAAGAGGGAGTTTATGCATATTTTCACCAAGAGATTTCTTTGAAATTCAAATTACTTTTTACAATATCTTATAAAAATATGCACTGCCCATAGACTTCAATGTAAAATTCAAAGTGATATTAATTGGACAATAATCAACATTTTGTAAATTCCTTTGATGGAGCATTTTCATTTGATAATATCTTCAAATTGCTACCATGATTAAAAATATTGGACCGTTCATTTATTAGGTACAAAATATGGTCGTTATACATTGAATACCTTAAAATAAAGTTTGAAATTGAAATTTTTTCATGCAACAATTTTCATTTTATGCCTCTACGTATGATTCAATGTTCTTTAAAGTTTTAACAAACAGTATTTAAAAAGTTGAAATTTGTACCTCATAAAATGAAGTGAAACTTGCCAATTTAAAAAAAATCAAATTTCATTTAATTTAGCCATAGTTACCAATGTTTATATGCATGATTTGAAATTAGAATTGATTTTCGGTGTTCTCTTTGAAAGGAAACACTTTATACACTATGCATTATGAAACAATGGAAGTAAGTAGGAGAAAGTAAAGTCCAAATAAGTGTAAAATTCATGCAATTTTCTTTAAAAGCCTGGATACCTATGATTTTTAGTCTTAAAATGTATTTCTTGATTAATTATCAATTAAAAAATATGCAGTAGGTAGTTCAAATCGCATTTCCTGAAAAATTATTTGAGATTTACTAATTTTCCTTATATAATATGATTAAATTTAAAGATGAATTTTAAAGAAATACCGTGGGTAAATAGATTTTAATTTGAGAATTTAGAGACATCTTTGTGAGCATGTTCAATTACCCAATGCCTGATTTTCAGAACCGGAGGATCGGATAACCTTAACACGTTAATATAGGTACTCATTTACCAGTTACAAATAAGTCGATCACTTCCGAATACCCTAACAGTTTCCATTCAATTCGACCTTAAATTAAATAATATACGTCCCAAACATTATCCATTGGCATGCCTGAGATTAATTAATTGCTTACCAATAAGTTATTTGCATTTCCAAAGGATAAAGAGAAACTAAAGGTTCTTTAAGCACTGAGCTCACTTTAGTGATACTCCACGCCTTTCTATATAATTATTATTACAAAGTCCATGTTTTGCTCAAGGAGACCCGAAATAAGTGTCAGATCAATAGTAAAAAAAGAAGTGTACAGTGGTATAGGAGGAATTGCAGAGCCCGTTATGCATAAATTATCCCACCTTTCCCAGTATGGTTGATGTCCCTTGCTAGCCAGACAAACATAAATCCGAACAAATGACTTCCCAACCAATAATTGCATTTTATTTACGAAATGTAAGTGACATATATTCTTCTTGTAGATTGTTAGATATCTCAGCCCACACTGTTTATTGTTTTTTTGTTTGTTTAAAAGTATTTTAATTACTCTATTTGAATATTTCATATATTTAAATATAGGTATAACTGAAATGAAGATAGGTACAAATTGAATACTATAAATTAAAGATATGTGTAGGTATAATTAATTCAAAGAACAGTCAATTGAATTGAAAATAGTTATAATTTATATGTACCTATCTTTAAATATTTTGTGCAGATATATTAAGTGTTGCTATCTTTCAAATGAATTGCAACTATCTTCAAATGAATAAAAGGTAGGAGAAATTCAATTGATCCTATCTGTAATGGAATTGAACCTATCTTTAATAAAATTAAAGATCGGTTTATTTCATTTGAATCTAGATTCAAGTACAATGTATTTAAAGATATGTGTATTTATCTATACCTATCTTTAATTTATTTAGATCTATACCTTTATTTCAATGATTTGAAGATAGGTACAGATATTTAAACATATAATTTGGTGTTTCTGTTTCGTAGGTTTGGTCAACAAATTAACAATTAAAATCCCTGAAACGAACTTGAGGTAAACGTCGTATTTGACAAATTTTCGGAATGCACAACAACTTGATTATACAGGTTTCACTTGTCACAGTTGCACAACTTCATATTGGATAATGTCTACTGTAGCAAACTGTCATGAATATTTTGTCTATATCCCAAAATTATAAAATTTTATGAAAATAAAAGTTGCACTAAGCCGCCAAATTATGTGCCCTTTTCGTTGTTCATGGGGTTGCCATTGCAAGGAATTTGTCGGGTATAACTTCGGGAAAATGAGAAAATGTCCAGAATATTGAAACAGCTCCTTTTCCAATAGGATATCTGTACCTTGGATGGCGCGCAAACAGTGCGTGCTATATAACTCTCGTCACCTTCGTTAAGTCAGGATCGACAAGAGTTTTTGGCATTTTCACGACTTCTCTGTGTCCTGTAAGAATATACATGATGCAGCATTTAAAAGCGGCTTTTAACTGCCCTCTCTTACATTCAAATGGAAAAGGATTTGAACAAAATTGTCAGCATTATTAAGCATATATATTTTACTTACTTAATCGTATCTTGAAATGTTTTGCTTGTAAAAAGTACAGCGTACGCCGCCCCTTTCCAAACTGAATATTATGTAGCCCATTAATTGGCTTTATACAAGACAATGAATTGAAGAAGTTAAAAGGGCCTGCTACAACCTATAAATCATTTTAAGTGACCATACCAAAAATGAGATGAGTTTGTAATGAGTCTTAAGACATTGCTTTTGGAAGTTAAAACAATTACCTATTCTATTGAATAATTTCAAATACTTAGTAGCATTATCTACAGTGTACTTTCGGATTTATTTTTTTTTATCATAATAATAAATATTTTTCATCGTAAACAGAGCAAATCCATTACCCATTTTCTCGCCGTAGAAGTCCTTGACCTCCTGTGGAAGGTCATCAAAAGCTTTACGTAGACGTTGAGAGGCGTCAACAGGGAAGACGTTTGTTTTAAACACACTTGGTTGTATGATATGAGCCGTCACGCCTATATTATACATCTCTCTTCTACAGTAAGATAAATCATATAAATTATTCGATATTTATCATGTTTATGCAAAAATAAATCTTACATTAAAGACGCTGGGGGTCAACAATTTGAACATCAGATATTACTATTTTTTTTAGATATGATATCTTAATCTGTCAACTATCATTTGGCAAAGAAAAATTTCAAAAATTGTAGTTTTTGAATTTGATCCTTTTTGTATATCTTTATATGGAGCTCTCATTCTAAATGAGATAAAATTAGTCTGCACAATGACCATAAGCACTCAGCCCTCATAAGCCTTCAAATGTTAAGTTCGTTTGATAAGGATATCTCCTTCACATTAATGTGTCCGTGAACGATTCTACGGCTGCTTTACTGATGTTGTATGGCCCCAGTTTTGGAATGGCTAACATGGCATTAATGGAAGATATGTTGACAACCCGCCCTTTAGACTGTCGAAGGGTTTTCTGGTATTGTTCTTTGGTTTGCCATTCTAACGGTGCCGCCAGTAAAAGAACACCTGCGTTAATGACCAAACCCCACAGTACTGTGTAAAACAGAAAACAGAGAACCTACGGTTTGTCATCCTCGCAAGTCCAGAGTCAATACGTAGCCATTAGACCCTTGGCATATTTCATTCCATATCTGTGGATTTGCTTCTCTCATTGAGAAGCATCAATCAAACCGAAGCTTTCATAGTTAGATAAGGATTCAGTTGACACCTAAGATACACGAGTTACAAGTTTTTTTATCATGGAATAGTTTAATTGATTGGTTGAGAGGTAAGAAAATACAATCAAGATTGGTTATTTTTCCGATAAACGTCGCTACAGTCAGCCAACAGATATTGAATGAAATACTCTAGGGGGTTCAATGGCAATGTGTTGACTCAGAACCCTTGGCTTGCGATGATACTGGAATTGGACGTTTAAGACGTAAAATACATGTGCTAAAGCGTTCACCTAGCTTGTACTTCCCTTTAAATATACTTTGGTTTCAGGTAGGAGCTCTTTCATTCAGTATCAACTTTTCTACATACAATACTACATTACCCTTATTTGACTTTACTGTAACAATAAGTGTGGGGCAACTCTTCATAAAGGAACGTTTTGAATAATAAGATGTTAAGTCTGGAAAAAAAGGGGGGGTCCCTATTGCTACGTGCCTGCGTATAGCTCAATGAATTATTCAAAAACGTAACCATGTAAAATACGTACTCAAATGCATCAATTAATAAAACACATTAAAAGGTACCTTCATTTCCAGCAAGGTTAGTCCTAACAAGATTAATTGCATTGTGAATGGATTCCTCTTTTGTCACATCGAGGCGGAAAACAACGGACTTGGAGGAACACGTCTCTAGAAGATTTTTCTCTCCTTTCTCAGTTAAAGAGGAAGCAAATACTCGAATTCCTTTCTTGTCTAGCTCTTGTGCAAGCAGATGTCCGAATCCCGTATCACACCCTGTTACCAAAACACACTTATTCTTTGTGTCTATGAAAATTGTACGCATATACAGCTCCACCGACTTTAAGATTAAAAATACCACAACTAAACACCCTAATAGTGTTAGTAAGTCCATGTTATATGATAACACAAAATCACAGGTATATCATTAGAATTACTATCAACTGTAGTTTTTTAAATGTTTTTGTCTGCATTTTGTGAATTCAAGGTGCATGACTGAACAGTAACGTGCAATGCGATGAACTTAAATACACTTTAAAGTTACAAGATAAATTAGGTCAGACACTGTGTAGGTTAAGGGTTGTTCTGAAAGTAGTGATATAAAATGTTTTTGAAAATATTTAAGATAAACACTGTCTGCATGACAAGAATGTTACCGACGTTACAACAGCTACTTTTAGGTATTCATCTAATTCAGCTGTATATCTGTCTATCGTCTTACCTGCTACCTTTTTAATAATTTTTAATGCCATTTCACAATTAAGCAAGTTGTTTTGAGAAGACGCCTTAGAGCTATTTAACAGCCTGTCTCCCAGAAAAGCATGCAATATAGTCCAAAAGCAGGTTTCTCCGATTGCTTTCAAAGAGCCGTAGCGCATTTGATAGTCATTTTCGCCTACTCTAGTAGTGATTTTTTAAATACATTGATTAACCAAAATTTTGTCATACAATGTTAGTTAATACATGCCTTAAAGCAAATCACACAAAAATAATATTCAAATTTTAATAGTTCCCTCATATGATAGATATAAAAATCGTTCAGTTTATATGGAGACTATAGTAAATACTGAGGTACCCCCTAAACAATGACAAACTGTAGCAAAAGACCACCCTTAACCAGAAAAACAACTTCTGAATAATTTTATTTGGATATGACTGCACTTCATTACATTAAGAAAATTTTGGTTAAAGGTGGTCTTCATATTGAAAATGTTAAAAATTTGTATTTAATTTTTCTTCTAAAATTATTTTAAGATTTAACAATCTGTCTTAAATTCATCCATCTGAATTCAATGACGTCGTGGCTTAGTGGTATTATTGCTGGACTGTATAAAAGATTTAAAAAAAAAAAATTGCTAGACTGTAGACATCATGATCGTGAGTTCGAGTCTCACAATGTGCAGTGTGTTTTTTATCTATGTTTTCATTTTTTACTCTCTGTGCATTTTTCCTATGTTTTCGTTTATTGTTTTATAATACATGTATAAATAATATTAGAGATATATTATACAACATAATATTACACCTTGAACGTATCTCGGGAAAAAAAAACAGTCCTATACTATTTTAATGACCCAAAACCATAGCTGTTAGGCTGTTTTATTTTTAACATTTTCTAAAAATTTTGTTTAGAATAAGAGTACATGTAAAATGATTGTCATTAACAAGCTTGCAACTATGAAGATATAACACTGGTCCACAAATGATTACATACATGTAGTTTGATCTTGAATTGAAAAAAGGTACATGTATCTATAAATAGAAACAGGTGATTTCCTTTGAAATACTTGAGTCGGCCCTGTGACGGTAAGGCAACTATGGCTCTTTTGTGAGCCAAATCTAGTACATGAATGCATAAAATGAAATCAGACAATTTTTTACTGAGCCAATCAAACCCAAATAAGTTTTTTGGCTTGTTACTAAAAAAAAGTTCTTATACAATAGAATTTGATTGATTGATTTCATATTGTTTAACGCCAAGTCGGCGATATTTCAGCCATATTTTGGCGGCAATAGAATTTGAGGTAATTAATTTGAGGTAATTTTTTAACGTTTTAGTGATATTTTAAGAAAATAAAATTGGAACTTTAAAAATTATTCTAATATTCTACTTTGTAGTAAAATAATAAAGGTTAGTTCTTCTTAAATGTATATTCAGAATGATTGACATTCATTTTGTTTAAGTGCAAATGGGTCATGAAACTACTCTAGTAAAAAAGGCGGATGTTTGAATCCAGTAATTTTTATTGCTTTTTGTTAGAGATGCCTTTGTTAACAAATTATGAAAAAATCATCCATGGCCAATGTACACTTTATAAAATATTGAAAGTCAAAATTTGTGAAAATTTCACATCAAAACTTTCAAGGATATAGTTAGAGATACTCATAAAAAAGCTCAAAACATGTCCAAAAAAGTTAATTTCTAGAGTTCTTCCTATCTGTTTTACAGAATATGAATAAACATAGCTCTCAATATAAGTACAGTTAAAATACTTAATGATTAAATCCCCCCCCCCCACAAAAAAATGCATGAAAAAGGGGGTGGGGAAAGGAGGTTATGAATTCCTAGTATGGCACTAAATGGACTAAGTATAAACCTTTATTTACATTCAATGCATGTATACATACTTGCTCAATATCAACACATGTAAAAACATTATTCATCATACTAGTCATTTGATCAACATATTCATTTGAGTGTTTAGCAGAAACAATTTCTGCAAATTTAAATATCATCGATACAAGCATTGGGATATTTCAGACAAGTTCTTGTTACTGAGGGAAGGTGAAAGACTTTAATATGTGTTTTTTATGAATGTGATATCCTCCACTTTCTGAGATACTTAGCTATTTATCGAGTTTATAAAATTTCATCATTTTCATTCATTATTTTTTTCATCTGCCATTAAACACAATCTGGACAACTTACTATTCTCTAACATTCTTCACATATCACAGACAAGTAAGTGTTCACTTTCTGGGAGAATCATTTTCTGGATTTTAAAACCAAACCAAATCATTTTCCTGTTGGCTCTTACTGAACTCCACCAATACCTGTCCTGATACATGTAAAACACTTTGCAGCTTGTATTAGTAACATTTTTGAAGCATACAAATTTGTTGTGATGTTCTTACTTGATCTTGAATTTGTATGATAAGTAAGATTTCCAACTGGCAACTGTTTTTTTTTCAAATTTCAAGATTGCAAATTCTTGTTGGCCTAATGAACATGAACAGGGATAACGTATGTATAGCTGATTACTATTCTCTTTGCTTGCTGTGGTGTATCGAGAACTTTAATAACTGGTATCATCTTTCACTTGATCAATAAAATCATGGTTTTATTGAAATGACACTTCAGTTCTGCTCCATTGTTCCTGCTTTCTTGGAAAATATACTATATTACCTATGAAACAAAATGCATCAGTAATTAAAAAAAACGTGTCTTCCTTCTTACAGTATATATCAGTAAAAAATATGACAGCAAGAATAATTTATTTTTTTACTCGCATAAGTAACTGCTATATGGAGGAAAAGTTATGTTAGGTGATTGGAAAAGTCGACGTAAAAAAATAATGACAAAATGATTGCTATCACCAATACTAATTTTAAGAATATCAAGTTTATAATAAAATTACAGAAGTAATAGTGAAGGTCAAATAGTCATTTGAAAGTTTAAGGTAAAAAAGTACATAGCCAGATTGCTCTTGCCATTATATCTAATTTTAGCTCTACTGGTCAGAGGCCAGAAGAGCAATGCGATCGTAATGTGTCCGTCGTCCGTCCGTCTGTCTAGCTGTCTGTCTATCCATCTATAAACTTTTTTTTCAAATTGATACTCCTACAGTTTTGGTGTGATTTCAAGATAACTTAATACACAAGTAGACTGCACTTAGATACATCAATCTGTATATCGGTTTTTTATTTCAATGAATGGTGTTCACAAGATGAAACACACCCTTTAAGCCTGCTTCAATGGGAAGAAGGACCTTTAGCTGAAAAAATACCTGTCCTTTATTTTTTTTTATTTTTTGTATATCTCTATTTTAGTATGTCCCAAATCAGATATATCAATAGGTTTCTAGACTTTTTTTTGAGATATTGAGTGACAAATACTATACACCATAGTGCCTAAGTGGAGTCTTGATTCTCAATGTTTCTTAGCCCATTACTCGGTCCATAATGGATTATTTTTTCAGCATAGATAAAAATATGTCAGCGAACATGTGTCTTTTAAAATATTTCAGAGTATCAATAGGATTAAAAATTCAAAAAAGTAATATTCTTTTGTCACACTGCACATGGAGACGGAAATTACGTACTTTTTAAAGACAACTTAGACAACAACAAAAAATTAATTTGCAAAAGATCTTATCATTCAATATTTGAAAACTTACGTTGAAATGCAAGATCGTCATGTTATTGATTAGCTGTGAAAATTTCGATTGGTGAAGCTGAGCTAATATTGCATAGGGCATGGTTAAACAAGACATGAGCTTGAGAAAAACGTGTCATGTTTACATATCTCGAGTACGGGAAAACCTATCTATGACTTCACACCTATGCGAAATAAGCGAAATGAGACATACCTACAACATATTCCCGTCAACAACCATGTAAAAATATTTTTTGTGTTCCCTTATTCACAAAATACCCCATCATGTACTGATCACTACCCGTGTTTTACCGTGTATAATCTTACTGTACTAAGAGATCCACTATGACGTCAACGACTCATTAGACGCGCAGTGAAGGGAAACAGAGGAGTTGATCAATCTATTCCGTAATTTGATAATATTTGCAAGAAAGTTTGAATCTTTTTAGATATTTTTATACAAGATGGTGAACTCAAACAAACAGTTAAAAATTATACAAGTACTCTGGATTCACTCTTGTTTTGTACATATTTTATCAGAGATTATGACGTAATTAAACTGAGTCATGTAACCTATGACAAAAGTATTCGCGATTTTTCAAAATGGCGGCCGTAAACAAGGACGCGCTTCGAGGAACAAACATCTAAAATAATAATTAAAATCATTTTAACTTACCTAATATTTTGTGAGGTGTCCCTTAGATTTAATGACAGCTAGTAAACGGCGTGGTATGGAATCATACAGAGTACTTATGTAGTTCTGATCAAATGAAGTCCATATGTCCGAAACGACGGCGAAGAGCTCCTCGGGGGTCGTTACGTTTTGTTGCCGATTTTGTAGAGTTCGTTTAATCCGAAGCCACAAGTTTTCAATAATATTGATGTCCGGGGACTGTGCCGGCCACACAATAGTTGGAATGTTATTTTCCAGTTTGTAGTCCCTTGTTATATGGGCTCTATGTACGGGGGCATTATCATCTTGAAAGCGGTACGGTTTGTTGCTAAAATGCCGAGCAATTACAGGCCATAAATTGTTTTCTAGAATTGCAATATATTTTTCTGCAGTTATGTTACCGTTGACAAGGCAAAGGGTTCCTACTCCGTAATATGTAATGCAACCCAACACCATAATAGACACCCTTCTCTGTCGCGGAGGACACATGCATTGGGGAAGGAACGCTTCTTTTGATGTTCTCCAAATGTATACTCTGTGGTTTTCACCCAGAACGATCTGACTTTCATCGGAGAAGATTACAGAGTTCCAATAATTATTAACAGTAAGTTTTCTCTTCTCTAGACACCAAGACATACGTTTTCTTCTGTTGACCTGTGACACAGCCATCTTTTTTCTTACCACTCGTCTCTTCACATCATGTT